GATTTGATTGCTCAGGCAAGTCCGTCCCGCTGATGAATGGTTCCTAGTGGGAGGGGGGCCTATTGACAGGCATCTGGGAGAAGCTCCTTGAACCCCGGTTCTGATTTTTAAATGAGAAACTTCTCGGTTTTTATCATTTCAGGTTTCTAGGTTTGTATATTATTCCATTTTGTGACATGAGGTCAGGAACTTTTTGGAGCTTATGGAAATACTTCTTCTCAAAAGATAATATTTTATCATGTCTATGCTTAGAATTGACTTTGTTAGACAAAGAATCTTTTATAATTTATATATTAATTCATTATGATCATTATTATTTTAACATCAGGAAGTTGCTTCATAAATCCCATTTTTTTTTACTTTATTGCAGCATTTTCTGATGTAGGATCTCCTTAAAACTCTAAAACTCTGAACTCTGCCTTCAGCCTGGTCTGGGACAGTCCTGCCTGGGTCTCCATCATGGAAAACAGGGACCTAATGTTGGACTCTGGTCCATGGGTCAGGGCTGCAGCTACAGCAGGTCCATGATCAGAGCCTGCGGTGAGGAAGAGGAAGCAGGAAGCCTCCTCTGCCAAAGGAACTTCCTGAATTAGGAGCTGTATGCTTTCCCACAATCCTTTGCTAACAGCAGTGTTAATTTCATCAACCCTGACGATGATGAAAATATTTCGTCAGCTCCTCTGATTCCCGTGACGATGACGAAACCATAAAGAACAAAAATTGTTTCCAAAAAATAAAAATATGACGAAAATAAAAAATTATTTTCGTCAACGAGACTAAGACCAGACGAAATTAACGATCCGTGGACGAACGGACATTAAGTAATGTAATTGTTTATAATGAATTTATAATTGTTAATATAATATGTTTCTTAAACTTCATAGAAGATTCTGCGTTGTTTGTCCCACAGCGCCTCGCGGCGCTCAGTCAGCAGCAGAGGGCTAATACTCATAGCTCAACTTCGCAGTCATGGCAGATAACGGTGTACGATTTGTTAAACAACGCCTGGATGTATGGCGCCATTTCAGTTACAACGCGAAGGAGAACACCGCAGGACGGACGCCACCAAAGAGTCTGCGGCTTTAAAACGGCAGGAAAGAAAACAGCGAATCTAAAGCGACATCCGAGGAGCCAACATGCTGCCATCGGTAAGGAGCGGGGGGGCCTGTAGTAGTGGGAACGGGGTGTGTGTGTGTGTGTGTGTGTGTGTGCGTGTGTGTGTGTGTGTGTGTGTCTGTGTCTGTCTGTCTCTTTGTCATAGAAGAAAGATGATCTACTGATACTCTGGTTATTAATTGTTTACATTTCTTCCTCCTAACTAGATTCCTGACCCAGTGACATCACAGCCATACCAGAGGTTGGGGAAGGAAGGTCGTTTCCTTGGTTGTTCTAAAGGTCTTTATAAATAAAGTTGAGTTGGGTGCTGGCTGGTTGAGTTTGCTTTGGGAGACGTTCTCAGGCTCCAGGCCTTCATTTATGGATCTAGCTTCTTTTCCTGGATTTCCTGCCTGACACAATCATCTGTGACACGTTAGATTTAAAGTGCATCTACCTGCTTCCTGCCATCTTTAAACATGACTGCTTTATCCCTCTTTCATCTGGAAATCCCTGCAGCGCTGCGTCTTCAAACCCACAGTTTGCTTTGTTTTCTATCAGGACTTGATGAGAGTCCTGAGCAAACATCCTGAGGTCTCGTTAGAACGGATCAAACAGAGACATGAAGGAGGTCGTTTCCTCCGCGGATTATTTGGATGAGAAACATTGATCTATGAAATGTTCATAATTACAACAAATCCCTGCAGAAAAGAGCAGGTACCGTTTCACAACCTGGTAATCAGGACTCCTTCAGGATTGGTTTCATTTCAACACAAACTACCAGCTAAAGGAAACCATCAACGCATGCTGACAAAGTATTCACACCCCTGAACTTGTCTTACTCACATTTTTCACAGCAAAGACCCAATTCAGATCATTTCAGCCACCAGAAAAAATCTGATTTCATCCACTTCCAGACGTCCTACTAAAGAAACTCTGTTTCTTCAGGGACATAAATTCAACTTTCAGTGTTGCTGCCGGTCCATATTAGATGGAGCTGGAATGAAAACTTCTAAAAGAGTTAAAGAGTTTTCACTGTGGAAGAGTTGGAACAAAACTGCCTAAAAGTTTAAATTCAGGTTTAAATTTATCTAAAATGTCAAAACTTAACTAACTAGAGCTCCTAATGTATGGATTTATAGCCAGATATAGCTGAGTATCATCAGCATAGCGGTGGATTGAATCCCATGCTGCTGTGGGGCACGCTGACAGGAGCAAGGCTGCCAGAACTACCATCAACACTTCACCCATGCAGATCAGGTGCCTTGCTTATGGACACAATGACTGAGCTGGGATTCAAACCAGCTACCAACCAGTTGCTCAACAAACTGCATTCTGCGCCACAACTTTAAAGGCTGCTGATGTCATCGTTAGGAGACAGGAGCTCACAGGCTGACATTAAGGGAGAAACGATGCTAAGTTTTTATTTTAAAATCAACATTTAAGAGACTTTGGAGAAACAAACCTTTTGTTGAATTAACAGACAACATTACAGCATGACATCAACTAGCAGCGCGAATTCAGCTTCATTGTTTGTTATGAAAGAGACCATGATGCTGTTATTTGCCACTGCTGCCTGGGGCACAGCCACGTTACACGACTCTGCTCTCTTATTGCATATAAAGTTTTTATGAAAACTTACTGCTGCCGTCATTTTTCTCTTTAAAATTGTTTTTGCCCAATTTGTTGGTAAATAAAACCGTTTGTGTTTATTTACAATAACAATGCAATACTGTAAGTGTGCACAATGGGTAAAGATAAAGGGGCTAAGCTAATTAGCAAAGTTAAAGATCTAAAAAATGCAAAAAATGAAATAGTTGATTGTTGGTTGGACTGGAGTCGAGCTGCAGGGTCCATTAAAGCGGGCCGAGCTGCTGGATCACTTTAGGGCTCATCAACAATACGACCTTTGGATCCAATTCATTTCTATTCATTAAAATAAAAAAGTTTTGACCTAAAACTGGTTTGTGTTTCATAGAAACATGAATTTTCTTGATGTTCTGATAGGGGTTTCTGGGAATGATTATGTTTATTTTATTAATATTATAGGTCAATGCTAAGATTTTGTTTTCCACAGCCAGGCTCCATTAGGTAGCTATGGCAACCATCAGGCTTTCTGCTGGTTCTGTGGTTCTGCCAGCAGAGGGCGCCCCACCTTTTTATGTCTGCTCATTAATGCCGCTGCTGGTATTCTATTTAGGCTTAAACCACCATCCCCTCCGTTAACTGTGCTGCTCTGTGATGTCATCCTTTGGTGTCCTGTTCACAATAATCTGCTAGCAGCTGCATTTCTTTAGCAGAATGAATGAGCATACCATTTCCACCATGGAGCTTTAGTGAGCAGCCTGTGTGAACGTAGACTCAGCAGTGATTCATCCTGGCTATCAGGTTAGCTGGAAACATCTGATAGCATCAGGAAGCTCCTGCTTTGGCACCAGAGCAACGACCATTTCTCCTATTTCACCATGATAGGATTATATTATCTTACTAATTGAACTTCATTGATCTCACATCGCAGAAATTCCCTCGCTGCATTTAACCCCTCCCCTCGGGGAGCAGTGGGCTGCCATTGTGCGGCACCTGGGGAGCAGTGTGGGGTTTAGGGTCTTGCTCAGGGACCCAGACTGCACGCTGTGGGGATCAATCCGGGTAATAGCGACCTCCTCAGAGCGCAGCTCACTGCTCTACCCATCAGGCCAACAGTCTCACTGATGATGTCAGCCTGTTAAACCCTAGTATTACCTGCCTGTTGCGTGTCTGAACGAATGTTTTCCCAGTAGTTTATGTAACTGGGACAGTCAGGATAAAAAGTCATCTTCATTCTGTATGTGGCAACGATTTGGGAATGGAATGAGAGCGGCGTCCCGATCCAAGAACAAAGCGTGATACTTTAATAAGACTGGAGACATGGATGTTATCCACAAACATGTGTGATGTAATGATGTGATGATGTAATGATGCGATCATGTGATGATGTGATGATGCGATCATGTGATGATGTGATGATGCGATCATGTGATGATGTGATGATGTAATGATGCGATCATGTGATGATGTGATGATGCGATCATGTGATGATGTGATGATGCGATCATGTGATGATGCGATCATGTGATGATGTAATGATGCGATCATGTGATGATGTGATGATGTGATGATGTAATGATGCGATCATGTGATGATGTGATGATGTAATGGTGTGATGATGTGACGGTGTGATGATGTGATGAGGTAATGATGATGTGATGATGTGATGATGTAATGATGTAATGATGTAATGGTGTGGCAGACTGGAGTTGTATAAAATGCTTCTGTAACTGTTTATTGGGGCCACTACTGCCTGAAATGAGCCGGTTGGTCGCGCTGCCGTCTGTAACTCTAAGCAACCTCTCTGGTCTGAGTCAGATTATAATTAATATTCAAATCTGTTGTCGGGTCTCCTGGTTAATTAATACATAAACATAACAAAGTATTATTTACAGAGTTTGCTCTGAGACCAGCATATCTCTGCTTAGGAAAAGAACCAGAGAGAAAATGCTTCAAGGTGGAAACAGAGCTTTCCTTATCAACCTCCTCACTGACCACCAAAGCGAGGACATCCTGGCAGCCCTCGCAGTTCATGTAGGACTCAGTTATTATCTGAGATCAGGTTCAGGTCATGGGTAGATATGCAGCAGTAATGGTTCGTTAGTGTTACTGTCAGGGCTTATAAAGATAGAGGTTGGTGGATATTAGCGTCTGGCCTAACCTTGACCTTACCCCGACCTTTTTTTAAATAAAGAGCCTAAAACAGAGCAGAATGTTGATGATTGATTCCTGTATTCATCCATTTTCCACCTCTGGCTTCATGAGGAGATAACACCTGAAAACAAAGTGAAGGCTTCGCAGTTTATTTCCCATCTTACCTCCGTGTTTCCTGGTCCCCTCCAGTCTTCTGGTCGTGCTTCTGGTCTCAGTCGGACCGTCCGACTCGGATGATGACCCAGCAGAAGGTTTTGGCGTTTGGACGGCAGGTCCTGTGTTGATGTCAGTCATTCCAGGGACAGAGAAGGAAGCAATCCTCTGTAAGATCAGGTCCACGCTGTCGTTGCCGTCACATTCACCATCTGCCAGCGGTCCAACCACTCTGGATCCAGAGGTGCTAGAAGAACCCAAGTGGAGATTAAGGACCATGTGACCGACCTGGGATTTTGAGTAATGATCCATCTGATGGAGGCTCTCAGGAGAGCAGCTCCTCTCTGCAGCGGTGATGGGATGGTGTGAAGGAACGGGAGAACTTGGAGAGATGGGTGAGCGTGGATGGTTGTAGAGTCGACCGGATGTTTCAGAGGAACTGTCCAGGCTGTGGAGGGAGGCTGAAGGGCTGGTAGCTGTAGATGGGGGGCTGAGGTTGTAGTTCTGAAGCTCACTGCTGCTCTGCTGGGAACAGTTTGAAGTCTTTGGGCTCATCAGTCCCGCCTGCGGCTTCGTGGGGGAGGTTGGTGAGATGCTGCTTACCAAGCTGTCCAGATCCAAGGGAAATTTGTTGAGACGTCGAGTTTCTTTGGCTTTGGTCGGAGGACTCTTGGTGCCCCACAGGCGCTGCTGGTAAACTTCCTTTGACCCACTTTCCTCAGAGGAATACCCACTTGGCCGACCATTCCAGTTAGCATTAGCATCAACATACTTCATTCCTGGAGACATCCTGCCTTCTGCACCGTCCTTTGCCATTCCCAGTGTGAGCTCCTCTGTGAGCTGGAAGTCCAGAATGGACACGGTGCCACGGTCGGAGACATGCGGCTCTGTGACGTGCAGCGTCAGCTCGCTGTCTTGGTCTACCTCAGGCTTAAAAACACCGCCCAGGGAGGAGAACTTTTCCATGTTCGCTCCACGCTGCTGAGGCCAGTTGAGCTTGGATCCATAGAAGTCCCTCTGAGGTGGAGGGCTGTTGTACGATGTCAGCCGGTTGGCTGGGAGGGTGTAGCCGCCACCGCTGGAGTACTCTAGGCTGGAGGTAGAGCTGTAAAGGCTGTCGTTGTCACTGCCGGGTCCAGACGACGTGGAGCAGAAGTTGGGGTTTAATCTGCTCTGGAAGGAAGCCGCTCTGGTGACAGAGGAGCTATTGTTTGGGACGACCGGCCTGTTCATGGTTCCTCTGTTGAAGGACAAGCTGCTGCCTACGGCACGGCTCTTCAGCAGGGGGCTGGGACCCAAACTCAAAGATCTGAGGGAGTCAGGCTGCCCACCTCCTCGCTGCTCCACAATGGCTTTATTGTGGTTAAGGATGAAATGGGAGGAGGAGGGAGAGACGGGGGTGGAGGCAGAGGAAGCTGAGGTGATGGACATCAGATCGTCTGCATTTTCATCGTCGAATGACCTCTTCAGGGCTGCAGATGGGAACAAGCAATATTCAGGTCATCATCTCACTTTGGTCACATCAGATACAAGCCGGTAATCGACTCAGCAACAACCCACGTTAAAATCTCCTCGGCTGTGGGAACACCAGAGCCGGCTTGACCCTCTAAATTACGTGATGCCATTGAACGCAGCGTAGGGACATCAACACACCGCACCAGTCGCTTCTGATCTATCTCTGTTACAGGGATATGTACCAAAGGCTTTTAAGGTTGCTGGAATTAAACCTCTGCTTAAGAAACCGTCTCTTGACCCAGATGACTTGGTCAATTATAGACCTATATCCAATCTTCCTTTCTTATCTAAAATTCTTGAGAAAGTAGTTGCCAAACAAGTGTGCGATCACTTCCACCATAATGAAGTTTTTGAAGAGTTTCAGTCTGGCTTTAGAGCTCATCATAGCACTGAAACAGCTCTGGTGAAAGTCACTAATGATATTCTCATGGCCTCAGATAATGGACTTGTATCTGTGCTCGTCCTGTTGGATCTCAGTGCTGCATTTGATCCAGTTGACCATAATATTCTTTTAGAAAGACTTGAATATTATGTTGGAATTAAAGGAACAGCTCTAGACTGGTTTAAATCTGATCTATCTGATCGAATTCAGTTTGTTCATGTTAATGATAGATCTTCCTCATGCTCAAAGGTTACCTGTGGAGTACCACAGGGATCAGTGCTAGGACCAATTCTCTTTACTTTATACATGCTCCCAATCGGTAGAGTTATTAGACAGCATGGGATTAATTTCCACTGTTATGCTGATGATACCCAGCTATATCTGTCTATAAATCCAGATGAAGCTAACCCATTACATAGATTACAGGCATGTCTGAAGACAGAAAAACCTGGATGAAGCCTGTGGAGCTGGTTGACTGTAGCGTTTTGTATCTATGCTTCTTTTTCTATGTCTGCTTCTGTCTCCTTGAACACCAGTGGGCCTCAGCAGATGGCCGCTCACACTGAGCCTGGTTCTGCTGGAGGTTTCTTCCTGTTAAAAGGGAGTTTTTTCTCTCCACTGCCGCTACAAGCATGCTTAGTGTGAGGGATTGCTGAAGAGTCAATGAGTCGATGCAATCAGGTAGTTTTCCTTAGATAGAAAACTTTGAATCAATCTGACTGGATGATCTGGTGAACTGGAAAGTGACCTGAGATGACGTGATGTGAATTGGTCTTACAAGCAGAAATACGATAAACGTGGAGCAGCTCTGGTCAGAGGGATTCAGTCAGATAATAGACAGAAACTATAAAGCACATTGACTACGACCAGGATTCCTTCCATTGTTTACTTTCCTGATTTCTGACAGTGGCGTCGGATGTAGGAGTTTGCCCTGAAATCGAAGGATTGACGGTTCAAGCCCCGGCTCCGACTTTCAGTGTCGTTGCGTCCTTGGGCAAGACACTTCACCTGCATTGTCTACTGATGGTGGTCAGAGGGTGGCGCCAGTGTACGGCAGCCCCGCTTCTGTCAGTGAGCCCCAGGGCAGCTGTGGCTACAATGTAGCTCACCACCATCAGTGTGTGAGTGAATGGGTGAATGAATGTAGAGTAAAACGCTTTGGTCAAGTCTCCTGACTTGAATAAAGGCGCTATATAAGTACAGGAAATTTACCATTTACCATTTACCACACTCATGAAATCATAAACACCAATGCAGCATGATGATGATGTCACCAGAAACACAGCCGCAGGGGGTCAGGGGCCAAGCAGCCGCCAGCGAGTGGTTAGACCAGCTTTATTAGCCAGTGGGAACGGAGCTAAATGATGACTTCGGGTCGACCATGTTTGAAAAAAATGCAAAAGCTCAATATTTTCAATTGGCAAGAGGCTTTATTATGCTTATTTTTCTCTTATGTTTATAGCTCAACTTTTACTAGCAGTTTCCATGGTTACTGACAGGATGCGTGCTTCATGGAAACTCCAGGAAACTAATCTCCTTTATTCTCCATCTCCTCTCTGCACCCCACTGGGCAACCTCATGGTCTGAGACCCTCACTCTGAATATCAGATATAAACCTGCGGTCCTGCTCACCACGCAGCAACAGACCACCGACTCAGACCACCACCCGGCCAGCGGACAGACCCACTGTCCCGTCAGACCAGCATACCCATAGTCAATACGCAGGAGCTAGACGTCAGATTTGCGTTTATCCCTTTAGTTTTGTAGGAAAAATAGACTTTGATGTCAGATCGCCATACGCTTTAAAAACACCAAAAAGTAAGTCATGAAATAGTTTTTATTTCCATGACTAAAGGGATAAATGCCTGTTGAGGTAGTTTAAAATGTATTTTTCTTACAAAACTAAAGGAATAAATGGGTATTGATGCTGGGTATGCTGGTCTGACTGGGTATGCTGGTCTGACTGGGTATACTGGTCTGACTGGGTATGCTGATCTGACTGGGTATGCTGGTCTGACTGGGTATACTGGTCTGACTGGGTATGCTGGTCTGACTGTGGGTATACTGGTCTGACTGGGTATGCTGGTCTGACTGTGGGTATACTGGTCTGACTGGNCTACATGTCTAACTAATGACAAGCTGATACATATCTGACATGGCACCACTCTTAGCCAGTCATCTGTTAGAGAAGATAGTCAATGCATTTTTTTTAATATCTATGATTGGATATTGTGCTGCAGCCCCGCAAAAATGGAAATAAATGTGCTATTCAAGACTTGTGACTCATAAAGGACGACAAAGACGTATCCGGCTGCAATTAAACTCCGGAGTGTCCGACTTAAAGCTGGACAAACGGCTACCCTAACATCACCCCTGGTGATGAATAAAAGATTAAACCTCTATTCCACAGTGAAAATTTGCGATTTAACACCCTTCTGTTTTCTTTTTGGCATATTTTAACAAAAAATCAAAAAGCTTTCCTTCTTTGTTCTTATTTTATTCTCCAGTTCTGTACATGGGATGTAGAATTTGAAGCTGTGGTTCTATGTCTCAATATCAGGTGTTAAAAAAATTAAAAGGTTTCGTAAATTTACTCTGAAAATTATACACAAATATACGGATGTTAAACAATTTAAGTGGTACTTTTCAATACTTAAGTACTTTTGAAGGCATGTACTTTTGATCACTTCTTCTATACTTCAACTTGAGTAGATGACTGACCGGGTATGTTTTACTCGCAGTAGAGTAAGACTTGACTATGAACATAAACACTTTTACTCCAATACTGCAGTAGACTGCTTCTTCCACCACTCTTAGTACCCACAATAGATACCTTTACCAACCTGTATCTTCCCTCTGGATCAGAACCTTTCTTACCATTACTTTTTTTGAGGCAGTTTGTTATCATTCCAGCTCTGCAGCTGGAAACCATTTTTAGCTGATTCTGTATACCCAATCAATGTAAAGCCCAAAACTTTCCCACACATGAGTAACAAACTTAATACTGTTTCAAAAGTTAAGAGGTTCAACAATTTTCTCAACAATATAACATTTTGAAATTTTATATAATACATTAGCCCTTCCCTGTGCTGTCACCTTATCATGGTGGAGGGGTTTGAGTGTCCTAATGATCTTAGGAGCTATGCTGTCTGGGGCTTTAGGCCCCATAGTATGGTCACCCAAGGCAGACAGGTCCTAGGT